TAAGTAGCATTTTCATTTAATTTAAGATAATTTAAAAACAATTTAACTTTAATTTAATAAAAAAAAAAATTTAATTAAATTTTATGTGTGATGATTTTGAGTTATTTCGCGTCATTTCGCGGTTTAGGCGACCATCATTTCGCGTCATTTCGCGTCATTTCGCGGTTTAGGAGGTCCGCTTTGAACTTCTCATAGTATGAAGTTACTTAGCTCTAGTAGTAGTACAATAGCCCGCGTACAGGCCTGCGGCAACTGTACGCGGGCATAGTACTAGAGCTAGAAGTTACTGTACTTACTTCTCAAAGACACAGCAACATATGCTACATATAAGTTCAGGATCTGGTGCAGGCTCAAACTGATCACTGGTAAATTTCCCAGGAGCCATGGCAGCGGAAACAACTCAGCAGTCAGCGCGTAAAACGTTGGTGAAAACTACCTTTTATCTGAAAACAACAATAATGTCAATAAACGTGTGCTCTGCGTAATACGTCATTGGTTAGTGTGCAAACGATGACATTATATCCTACCCTGCCTACACGCGGTTCTACCCTGTGCGCATGTGCAGTCATGTGCATGTCAGACGCACAGGCACTTAGAACGTCTCAATAAAAAAAATAGATTTCGTATTTATTTAGCATTATATTTTATTGAAACGCTGCAAGTGCCTGTGGTCAGACGCTTCACCGCGACAGACCCCCCTTCCCCCCGGGAGGGGGGGTACGCACCCCACATTATGGTAGGTATGTGCCACTGCGAAGTCAAAAATGGGGGGCTCTGGAATTAATGTTTGTTGAATGTGCTGTGGAATGCTCTGAATATGCTCTGGAACTGGCTATGTTTCTATTATATTATTGCCTATATGCCTGCCTACTAGTCCAGTTGCCAAAATGTTGACCCTGCAATGTTAATTACTCTAAACTTTTGTTATGGAAATGTGTTCTATATAGTTAGGAGAGCTGATTTAGCTTGGTTGCTACCTGTGCAACGTTGAGCATTTCTTGGAATTCAAGATGGCCGCCGCCGTCGATCTTGGATTTTGGTCAATTTACAATTTGTGATCTCGATGCCCTAGAGTGTTATGCAATACCTTTTTTAGGGGTCTTCGAGGGCAGGGAGTCCATTTCTGGAGTTATTTTTTAGATATGGGGTCAATGTCAAGGTCAAAATGACGGTCAACGGTCAAAATAAGACACTTTAATGTAAATTCACTGTTCATAGATAGTATATATAGGCTGACAACTACGACTTGAACATTACGAGACCAAATGGGATGAAAACCACCCACACCATGGTCATGGAGTTCACCCAGCATCCTGCCGGCATCATCGAGACAGGAAACATTAGTGTGATGCAGCTCACGATCCCTCGAGTCAAGAAACACGAGGCATTCTCTCAGCGACTCATAGCCAATCAGGCTATACAGCTGCAGCACTACACAGGACCTTCCAAGCTGAATCCACCTCTGATTCCAATAAAAGCTCTGTCTGCAGAAGAGTCACAGCTTCAATTCGCTGCAGTCAGTTTCAGTCAGCAGCGAGACGCAGCCTGGCTGTCGCAAGTCCAATCATCATACCGCATACCGTCTCATCATCGCCTTGACCCAGGGGGGAAGTGGGCCAGTCGAGCACCAAAGCTTGCAGCCAGATCTCCTGCGGTCCCAGCGACTGGCCACACAACGTGGTACAGCAGCTGACCGGCGTCAACCAACACCACGTCTGAAGCAGGTGGAGTCTTGACAGAAAGTCTCATACCGTCTCATCATCACCGGAAAGACCTGAACAAAGGCTCTACGGGCATACCGTCTCATCATCGCCGTGTTGCTGCAGAGTTTCTACTCAAATGGTGCCAAGACATACCAAGAGCTGAGTGACTACCTGGAGACAGCCAGAAAAAACCTAACCGGGAAGCTATGGGTGGACTGTCTCATCAAGCCGACACTGCTGGCGCTCATGTTCCTGCGTGGAGAGCGGAATGGTGACTTTCTCCTCCAGCAGCACTGTCTCAAGGCAATGCTTCCGTATTTCTCCGCAGCAGGTCACCACAATTATGCCCGCTACATGAGCTGGCATGTGCGACAGATGGAGCACCTTTCCCAGCGTGCCCGAGAGAACCTACTGGCAGGCGCACATGTCTGTCGGCATTCTGATGGCGGGACCGCAGTGCCAGCAGATCAGTTCAGACATATATCAAGCGAGGGAAGGGTGCTGGAGGTATGAAGGGCATATCGACGA